CTGCCCAGCATTGAGTTAAACCTGGCCTAGCCCAGCCAAAACCTGCCCAGCATTGAGTTAAACCTGGCCCAGACCAAACCCTGCCCAGCATCGAGTTAAACCTGGCCTGGCCCAGCCCAAATGCTGCCCAGCATCGAGTTAAACCTGGTCTAGCCTAGTCCAAACCCTGCCCAGCATTGAGTTAAACCTGGCCTGGCCCAGCCCAAACCCTGCCCAGCATCGAGTTAAACCTGGCCTAACCCAGCCCAAACCCTGGGCTGCAGCACTTACCCAGCATCCTGGGCTTCGTGAGCTCGGATTACGGATAACAAACTATTGTTCTGCAAAAATTCACACACTGCAGGATAACTGGAAAACAAAAAAGGGAGGAGAACTCAGCTGGGAGCTCGGGTGGTCTTGGTTTCAGGGAGCAGCCACTTGTAGAACACAGCCAGTTTTCGTCCAGCACCCCAAAATTATGTTTTATTCAAAAATTATTCAAATTGTCTATTTTTATTCAAAAATTAATTGCAAAGGTTCTGTTAAACCCTCCCTATAAGCAGACTGTCAGCACAAATCCTTCTTTTTTTAGCAAGGAAAGATTATTTCTTAGAGATGCAGAAAACCACTCACAGGGCCAGTCCAAAGAAGCATCTCTGCTGCTTGAGACCCCAGGTCTACAAAATAACTTATCCAAAGACAACTCAATATTCAAATTTATTCAAAGACAGCTCAATATTCAAAGACAACTCAATATTGAAACTTATCCAAAGACAGCTTAACATCCAGAGAAGCGAAAAACAAACAAGAATTTGTGCATTGGAGCCAAGTGAGGAGAATTTCACGTAGACTGCAAAGCCCCAGAGAGTGATTTTAGTGTGAGGGGAGGGAAATGTCCCTTGAAACAGCCCTCACCTGTAGAAATAGGAGCAGCCTCGGACAGTGTTGTGGGCAAAATGCTCCAGGGTTTTCTCGTTGCCATAATCCTCTGAGGGATCCGACCACAGCAGGTCACACATGGGACCAAAGGCTGGAGGCTCCTTAAACCTGTCTAACTGGAGAGGGGACACAACATCAGGAGGAGGAATGCTTTAAAAGGTTTTCATTTTAGATTTATGTGTGCGTTTTCCTT